ACATAAGTTCTAGTAGCCACCACTCTTCCTTGTACAACCAATTTTTTTTTTTTAATCTCAAGAGACATATTTTCAACCAAAAATTCAATCTCTAATCCTCATTCTACAACTCCATTATTTATTGAACTCTTTTACTTTTCCAACTTAAATCCGCAACAATAAAACTAACGTGCCAAGAGATATCGGATGATTGATTTTCAAAGGCGGCCTTGTATTGGGAAGTGAAAGGGGCGCAAACTATTGTACATTGGAGGGAATTTCCGAGGAAGTTAGAAAGAGATAAGAACAAAGATAAAACTACAAATTTAAATTGAAAAATGCAAGGACGCAACACGTAGTGACAAAATTAGTTTTTTCCATGTTAGCCAATTGCCAATTTACCTTTAGCAAAAATTAAGGAGAGAGAAAGAATTTTAAAATTGAAAAATTACATGAAACTCTACTATGAAAATTGAAGTATCAAGCACCATAAAAATACATATGGTATACTTAGTGGGCTTGCTAATCATGATGGAAAGTCCTGTGATTTTCAGAGAGTTGAACTTCGTGTATATTTTGTATTCAAAAAGACACAACAAATTTGTTCAGCATAAATGGTTGTAATTGTTGTCTTTGTTTGAAGAGACCTGGGTTCAAATCTTAATGCTGATATTTTTTATGTGAGATAAATAATTATTTGTAAAGAGAAAAATGTCCTTCCTACTTTCACTCTCGTTGCAGGAAATTTGAAATGAAAAAAAATACACAAAAGTGTACTATATATTATTGGGGGATAGTAGATAGATAGATAGATTGTTTCGCTGGTAGTGGAAATATGTAATTGTATTATTTTAGTAGTGGTCATGTTATAATCAATTTAGGGGTCGTTTGGAAGTTGTGATTTCAAATGGTGTATTGACCTAATTCATGTATTTGTGAGATTAAGTCGTTTTTTTGACGTATATAGAACTAGAATACATGTATTTACTTTTTGGAGGTCCCACCACAATCACTCAATATTGAGGGATTTACAATCTCTACTTTTTGTTGTGATTCTTCACAATCACTCAAAACTAACTTTTTTACCTTTAGAACAAAAACACAATCTAAACCTCCAAACAAGATATTTGCCTAATACATCAATTGATTCAATACATCAAATGATAATACACTAATTGTCTCAATACATCAATTTGAATAATCACAACTTCCAAACAAGCCCTAGTAGAGATTGCGGTTGTTTGGAAGTTGTGATTCTTCAAATTGATGTATTGGGACAATTAGTGTATTATCGTTTGATGGATTGAACCAATTGATGTATTAGGTAAATATCTTGTTTGGAGGTTTAGATTGTGTTTATGTTCCAAAGGTAAAAAAGTTAGTATTGAGTGATTGTGAAGAATCTCAACAAAAAGTAGAGATTGTAAATCCCTCAATATTGAGTGATTGTGGTGGGGCCTCCAAAAAGTAAATACATGTGTTCTAGTTCTATATAAACAAAAAAAAAACGACTTAATTTCACAAATACATGAATTAGATCAATACACCATTTGAAATCACAACTTCCAAACGACCCCTATAGTGTTAGGGGTGGAACAAGTTTGAAATGTGGTTGGGACTTGGGAGGATAAATTACATGTAGAGAGAGTTGTCAAAAAACATAATCCGATTTGACTAACCACCTGTTCAGTCGACTTGTAAGTTGACTTTTAGTCAAGTTACAACCTCGAAACCCTCCCGTCCTGCAACTCGATTGACCCGCAACTTCATTAACTCGCAAGCTGATTGACCCACAACCTCGTTAACCAACAACCCAATTGCCTGCAATCTTATTTTACCCATAACCTGAACCCGACTAACCCGTGACCCAATTGACTCAACTCGAGCCCACTCGATCCAACCGAATAATTATTATATTAAATAATAATATGTAAAAATCAAAACATGAAGGTCACTTGAACACTAAATTCTTTAACAAAAATAAAAAAAATATGAAATATAAAAGCAAGCACAATGACAACATTCCTAATAAATAATTAATAATTGAGATAATACAATATTAGATTTCAAACATTTTTCACAATTTTTAGTCAATTTGTTTCTACCTCATATTTATGTACTCATAAAAGGTTTTTTGTTTTGTTTTGTATAAGTACTTATAAAAGTTAAAAAACTTGTCAAAGTGCAACAATAATTTTGTATTATTTTAGATGGTTGAGTTGTTGTAATCGTATAACGTAACAAACCAAGTTTAAACTTCGCTCTGGAATAAAATTCAACTCAAACACAACTTAAACGGTCAAATTTTACCAAGTGTTGTAAAATAACGATCATGTAGTGCTTTTTTTTACAATGTAGTGGTGAAGTTGCAATAACTGTAGAAGAATAGAAACAAGTAGACAAATTAAGTGGATTTTTCTAAAACAAATGATTGTTGTAACTAATGATTAATTTAAGTATTAAACCATAAACAATTAAATATACATATTAACCTTCAAATTATATAACTCCATACCCTAATTAAAATAGTGAAACTAATTTGTTCATATAGTTAGATAAGTACGTTATTTATAAGAAGTTCCTAAATTAGTTCATATAATGGGTGTTAGGTTATGTGTACTATAACAAAAGCGATTGATTTATTATGATAAGATGACTCATGATAGGTTCTCTTATAGACTATGTTTTAGCTACTAAATGCTAAATGCTAAACTCTTAACTCATGATATGTTCCCAAATCTACTATATCAAATTAGTCATATGCCCTTATAAGACTATAATAAGGTTTACTTTAGACAATGTCTTAGCCACTAAATGTCAATGTAATTCATGCATAAACATTATGATAATTAAATTGATATGTAATTAAAGTTTATGATTTATAATGTAAAATAACATGCATTTGAGATAATTCGAGTGATATTGTATTGAAGATAAGAAAACAAATAATAGGTTCTCAAATCTAATATAGTCGTCAAAGGTCACACAGCCAACTGCTAAAACTCTCGAGAGACCCTCGACCGGAAAGTGTGACGACCCACCTCGAGGCTAGTTGTGTTGTTCTAGGAGGCACCAAAAAGGGATCTTAGTGGAGGGCCCAAAGGGCTCGAGCAAGTGAAACTCCAGGTTTGGTCTCGCACCGTCATCGCTCAAGCGGTTTGTGTGGGGATGTTCCTGGGTTATAAAAAAAATAGTCAAATAAACATTCCATATAAGACTATAATGTAGCTATTTAGTCATGCCCTCCATATAAAGATTAAAGATTCATATTTGAAAGGCTTGTTTCATGTCTTTTCACAACAAAAATGAAAACACTAAACTACCCTACTTTTTTCTACTTTCATAAATTAGAAGCACTCGAGTTTACTTTCTCTTCCATAAAATTGAAAGAACCAAATTTTCCTCTTCTTTTCTTTCTCGAAAATTTAAAAACACAAAATTTCATTCCTTATTTCTCTTTCCATAAATCAAAAGAACAAAACTTTCTCATCTCTTTCTCTTCCTATAAATCAAAGACACCACCCCCTTCTTTCTTTTCTAATAAATTGAAGGGTTAATACCTTATTACGGCCCGAACTATACCCAAATAATCAACTTTGGCCCGTGGTTTTGGAAATTGCTATCCTGGCCTCAACTATATACCATATAGACTAGTTTGACCCGACACATGTTTTGAGCGTCATTGGACGGTCAACACCGTGGAATAACGGTCAACCTTCCAACTCACTACCATGTCAACGCTAATTAAGTCTAATTTGAATTATTTTCAATATTTTGTTTATCTAAAAAAAAAAAAACTAGCGTCCCTGCTTCACCATTCCCCTCCTCCTCCTAAGCACTATGAACACAACCAAACTAACAAAACCCAGAAACACAATCGAGCCCACAAAGGCGCCAATCACAATTCCATTTTTATTCTTCGAGTTTGACAACTCTGATCTTTTAAGTTTGACGAAGATGGTTATCCCACTCGCGGGTTGTAGATTTAAGAGATCCCCATCCCAAACAGAGCACCGATTCCCATCCTACGACTAAGCAGAGCAAGAGCAGTTGCTCAAACAAGGCGCTTCACAATCTTGTGAACTGGCCACAGATCCCACCGTCTGCGGGTTATCCAGTTGCCCCACGTTGTAATTCGGGAAGAACCCATCTCGATTCTGGTTCGAATCGGTTGAATTGTTTGTTGGAGATTAGCGGAAATGTGGTATGATTTAGGATCAACACAAAGGAAACAATTGGTGTTTAATCACTCAATTTATGATTCACTCAAACAAACAAGGCCTTATTCATTTGGCTCTTGTCTTACACACTCACGGGAGAGACTTCCATGTTTTCTATTTTTATGTCTCTTGCCCACTCTCTCTGCCATTGCCATACACACTTATACATACATATATAGATAATGTAAATGAAAGAAACTAATAATGCCAAGTCTCTTTTCTCTTCCATGCATGTGGACGTGAATGCAAATGGGAACTAGATGACCCATGTAATTACTTCATGTTTCTTGCCAACTTGATATGCATGGGACTACATAATTATTCACCCATTAATTTGGTTGGCTTGCTTTCTTTTCATCACATCCACTTGCTGAATTATTTTTTCTCTCATAACAATCAATTTACTTCTTTGTTGGTAGTAGGTTGAGATGTCTATCTTATGCAAATGGGTTATCCTCTTGAAGTGATTGTAGTGGGACATTTTGGTTATGATAATTATTGTTGCAAATTACCTTTCAACACCCCCTCTTAATTTGCAATCTGGAGAAGCTTCTCGAACTTCTCGAACTTCTCACGGGTGACCTCCTTTGTCATGATATCTGCTGGCTGGTCGTCGGTGTTAATAAATTTCATCAATTAATCCTTCGTTGACGAGGTCTCGGATGAAATGATGATGCAACTCAATATGCTTCGATCTTGCGTGAAATACTGGATTTTTTGTCATGGCTATGGCTGACATGTTGTCACAATGAATAATGGTTGGACCATTTTCATTTTGATGCAAATCAGAAATTAATCTCTTCAGCCATACTGCTTCGCATGCTGCATCTGTAGCTGCGATATATTCTGCTTCCGCTGAAGATAGAGCCACAGTCTTCTGCTTCTTTGAACTCCAGGAAATGGGTTTGAACCCAGGCAGAATATGTACCCCAATGTGCTTTTTCGATCATCCAGTGATCTTGCCCAGTCACTATCGGTAAATCCAGTCAGCTTGCTTTCTGCTTCTTTCTTGTACATCAGGCCCAATTTCTTTGTACCTTGAAGATACCGCAAAATTCTTTTGGCTGCTGCAAAATGAAGTTTGCTAGGTTCATTCATCAATCTTGATATAAGACTTACTGAATGACATATATCAGGCCTGGTATGTGTCAGGTAAATGAGTGACCCGACGAGACTTCTGTACAGCTTTCCATCGACTTTTTCAGCTCCATCATTGCGTTGCAATTTCTCGTTCAACGCCATCGGTGTTGAGATAGGTTTGCATGTTGCCATGTGAAATCTTTTGAGCATATCCTCGGTGTACTTCTCCTGTGAAATAAATATTTCTCCAGGCGACTGCTTCACTTGGATCCCAAGAAAATACTTCATGAGTCCCAAGTCCGTCATCTCGAATTCTTTCATCATGGTACTTTTGAATTCTTCGATCATATGCTGATTTGTACCTGTGTAAATCAAGTCATCAACATATAAACAAACCATTAGAAAATCTTTTCCTTCTCCCTTTTTGATGTAGAGAGATGCTTCACTCGGACTTCTTTAAAATCCGTTTTGCTGAAAATATCGATCAATTCTGCTGTTCCAGGCTCTCGGTGCTTGCTTTAGCCCGTATAAAGCCTTTCGGAGACGATAGACTTTGTCTTCTTCTCCTTTTTTCTCATAGCCTCGTGGTTGCTCCACATAGACTTCTTCTTCTAGTTCTCCGTTCAGAAATGCGGATTTGACATCCAGCTGGTATACTGGTAACTCTAGTTGAGCAGCTAGAGCGAGAACTGTTCTGATGGTCTCCATCCTCGCTACTGGTGCATATGTCTCGTGAAAATCAATACCGGGCTGTTGTGAATAACCCTTTGCCACCAGTCGAGCTTTGTACTTCTGGATAGTACCATCTTCATTGAATTTGATCTTATAGATCCATTTGAGACCTATAACCGGCTTGTCCTCCGGTTGATCAACAAGCTCCCATGTCTTGTTTTTCTCGATCATGGAAATTTATGCATCCATCGCCTCATTCCAAACTTCATCTTTGGCTGCTTCTTCAAAGACTTAAGGCTCACAAGAAAAATATGCAACATGACTTGTTTCATAAATTTCTCGCAAAGACCTTGTTCTCAACGGAGGTGAATCCGAGTCTGTTAGGACGTCTCTGAAGTTGTCTCCTTCTGAGCTAGGTGCAGAATTTCTTTCTGGACTAGCAACTGGATCTGGATCGTTGCTGGGGTCTTCTAGAGTTGCTGAGTCCTCCAGAATTTCATAACTTGGTGGAGATTGAGAAATTGGATTTTCCCAATTCCACTCCGCCATCACATCAAAGATCACATCTCGGGAAACCACCACTTCATTCTTTACTGGATTGTAAAGACGATAGCCTTTGGACTCATCACTGTAGCCAGTGAAGATAAGCTTCTCTCCCTTCTGGTCAAACTTGTCTCGGTTTGGGGTAGAAATATGTGCATAAGCTATGCACCCAAATACTTTGAGGTGATCCACCTGTGGCCTCCTATTGTGCCACGCATGTATCGGTGTCTTGTTCCGAACTGCTTTGGTTGGTGATCTATTGAGGATGTAAATTGTTGTATTGACTGCTTCTGCCCACAAGTTGTTGGGAAGCTTCTTGGCTTTGAGCATACTTCTCTCCATCTCCACAATCGTGCGGTTTTTCCGTTCCGCCATGCCATTTTGTTGTGGTGTGTAACAGACCCTCAGCTGCCTTTTGATTCCGTTGTTGCGGCAATACTCCATGAACGGAGTATAAATAAATTCTCCTCCACGATCTGTACGGAGAGTTTTGATTTGGTGGCCACATTCCTTCTCAGCTACTGCTTGGAATTGAAGGAACTTAGGAAAAGCTTCTGACTTTTGCTCCAGAAAGAATACCCACATCATTCTGGTGAAGTCATCTACAAATAGTAGAAAATATCTTTTACCGCTGAGTGATTGTGTTCGGGTTGGACCGCATATGTCTGCATGTACCAACTCCAGTGGCGCTTTTGCTCTCCAAGATGTCTTTGGAAATGGTAAACGATGCATTTTGCCATATATGCATCCTTCACATATTTTAGCTTCTTTGTTGATCTGGGGAAGTCCCGCCACCATATTTTTCTGCCTCAGCAATTTGAGGCCTCTGAAGTTGAGATGACCGTATCTGAGATGCCATAGGAAGGACTGATCGAGATTTTCACTCTTGAATGCTACTTCACCATCTTGTGACATAGCAAGAGAGAAAATTCTGTTGGAAGTCATCGGGACTTTGGCCACCATGAAATTGTCAACTTTGTTGATAATCTCGCACACGCCATTATCAAACAATAGCTTGTAGTTTTTCAGCATCAGTTGTCCCACGCTCAGTAGATTGAGAGTTAGCTCCGGAACATACAAAACGTCTCGGATGAGAGTCTTGTTACCTTCTTCTATGCATACAACAACTGTGCCTTTTCCTTCCACTTTTAGCTTCTTCCCGTCTCCCAACTTGACTTGAGAACGGTATTTGTCATCGATGTCAGTGAAGGACTCCAGATCTCCAGTCATGTGGTTACTGCAACCACTATCCACCATCCAGGGAAGCTGTGATTTTTGCTCACCATTCAAGCATGACAAGGCCACCATATTGCTTTCTTCATTTTTGGTGCCGCTTGACTCGCCTTCTTCTTGCTTGTTCTGGAACCAGCAATCTCTCTGGGAGTGGTTTTGAATTTTTCACTTGGTGCACTTGTATCTACAGTCTTTTGTTGCATGACCCGCCTTTTTGCAAATTATGCAACTCGAGCCGGTGTAGCCCGATTTTTGTTGTTGATAATTTTGTCTGTTGTTTCCTCTGTAATTGGATCTTCCTCTTCCTCTTCCTTGTGAGTTTCCCCCTCTCTGGCCTTGCTCCGATTTGGCATATTTACTTTCCGTCATGTTGACTTTTGACGAGAAAGCTTGCTCCAATGGCGGTTTGGTGAATCGGCTCATTCTTTGCTCATGTGCTACAAGTGAGCCCATCAACTCGCTTATTGATAAATTTGCCAAATCTTTGGTTTGTTCAATGACAGCAACAATATGCTCGAACTTTGATGATAAGCTCCGGAGAATTCTCTCCACGACCTTCCTCTCTTCCATGACGTCACCAGTGGCTTTGATTTGGTTGACTGTCTCCGCAACACGCGAGTGGAAGTCTTTGATGGTGTCGGTTTCCTTCATCATCAAGTTGTCGAACTGTCGCCATAAACTTTGGCGCCTGATAGAGATTGCCTTTTCAGAACCTTGAAATTGTTCACGCAAGACATCCCAAGCTTCTTTGGCCTTTTTGATGCCATAGATTCTGGGGTAAATTGATTTGCTCACTGCTTGCTGAATTATTCTCAAGGCGCTGGCATTTTGCTTGGCATTCTCCTTGTACTCCTTTGTCTGCTTGCCTGATCGTTTCTTCGAGTCTTCATCATCTTCCTGTGGACTTTCATAGCCGTCTTGGACTATATCCCACAGATCTTGAGAGATGAAAATTGGCTCCATTTGGGCACTCCAGTACTCGTACAATTCTCCATCGAAAATGGGAATTTGATTAGAAGAGGTAGCAAACATGGTGTTTGAGGAAGTTGTTGCCATGGATTTTTGGAAAGTTGTGTAGGCTAGAAATTTGGGGATTTTGAGAGGAAAGAAGGGTATAAGCTCTGATACCAAATTTGTTGGAGATTAGCGGAAATGTGGTATGATTTAGGATCAACACAAAGGAAACAATTGGTGTTTAATCACTCAATTTATGATTCACTCAAACAAACAAGGCCTTATTCATTTGGCTCTTGTCTTACACACTCACGGGAGAGACTTCCATGTTTTCTATTTTTATGTCTCTTGCCCACTCTCTCTGCCATTGCCATACACACTTATACATACATATATAGATAATGTAAATGAAAGAAACTAATAATGCCAAGTCTCTTTTCTCTTCCATGCATGTGGACGTGAATGCAAATGGGAACTAGATGACCCATGTAATTACTTCATGTTTCTTGCCAACTTGATATGCATGGGACTACATAATTATTCACCCATTAATTTGGTTGGCTTGCTTTCTTTTCATCACATCCACTTGCTGAATTATTTTTTCTCTCATAACAATCAATTTACTTCTTTGTTGGCAGTAGGTTGAGATGTCTATCTTATGCAAATGGGTTGTCCTCTTGAAGTGATTGTAGTGGGACATTTTGGTTATGATAATTATTGTTGCAAATTACCTTTCAACATTGTTGTCGTTTTCGCACTACACGCTCACCCTCCTGGTGCACCACCCTCTGTAGTCTGTAAAACACCTCGGATTTATAATGTCCCTTCGATTTGCGGACGAAGCCGTTCAAGCAACGACATAACGACTAGCCTTGCGCCATACAACTTCTGAACACGCCGCATTAGCCGTAGACTTCGCACTGAGTTCTGGGCTTCGACCAAAACATATTTCATTGCTTTATTGAATCCATCCCAAGTGCTGCTAAATATGGCCGCCGAGAGCTCCAATTTACCTTGCTGTGTTGGATTGGAGAGGTTTTTTTTAGAGAAAAACTGGTGGTGTGTGTGGGGGGAAGAGAGGTTAGAGGTATGGTGGGTAGATGTTCATAGGGGAGGAGAAATTATTGTACTTGGGTTTCGAAATTAGGATTTATTTTATTATTAGATAAAACAAAATATGAAGAAAAAAATTAAAATAGAATTTTTTTATTTAATTGGTGCTGATATGACAGTGAGCTAGAGCGTTGACTGTCCAAATTAATGGTCAAAACACGCGTCCGGTCAAACTAGTCTATATGGTGTATAATTGAGGCCAGGATATCAATTTCTAAAACCATGGGCCAAAGTTGATAGTTTGGATATTGTTCGGGTCATGATAAGGTATTAACCCTAAATTGAAAGTACTAAATTTCTCTCTTTTTACTCTTCCCAAAAAATTGAAAACACCAAAATTTCCCTCTTCTTTTAAAATCATTAAATTAAGAAATACATTGCTTTACTCTATTTATATTTAATTGATAACTTTGTTGAGTACTTAAATTAACCAAAATTTTAATTTGGATATTGTATATAATAAATAAAGTGTAAGTTGTAATGAGTAAGCAACACAATGCGCTGACTTGAACAACTCCTAACCCGATCCGCTGGCAACCTGCCTGTCTCGTAACCTGATTAACCCACAACTCTATGAACCCGCAACTCGATGAACACGCAACCGGACTGACCCGTCAACCTGATCAACCTACAACCCGATTGAACTCGAACCTGACTAACCCACCACCCGATGAATCCAAAACGCGACGAACAAGTAACCCGATTGTACCAACCCGAACTGGCCAGATTGACACCTCTAATCACTCGGATTATTGAGAAAATTTCAATTTTGGTCATTAAAAATATTTTATTTCATTTGTACTCATTAAAATTAGCTCAATATTTTTCAGATTTGGTCAATTTCTCTTAGTCTCCGTTAGTGTCCATTATTCGAGTTCGTCATTTTTTTAGAGAAAACTCGTGGTGGGGGGGCGCGGGGGGGAGGAGGTGTCGCAACCGCCCTCGGAAAATCGGGGTATCGCCATCTTATTTTAATGTAACACGAGACAAAATACACTGAAACAAAAGTATACAAACTAATCAAGCAGAGATAGAAAACAAACTCTAGTTTTTATTGAGATATGCTTAAACATAGATATGATTTTTGATTGAGTTTGCTATCACCATCTTGTCATTTACTTCGAGTATTGGTTTTGATTCCTCTTTTTGACAGAACCAGTTTGTTGGTAGTTGCTTGAATTGGTTGATTTGTTGGAGAAAAACTTCGCATGGTAGGAAGATGAGATGTGATTATGAATGGTGATAATAGAAAGATGGATGGTATTTAGTTTTACACTCACCTGTTGTCTTTGTAGTTTGGGGAAGGGATGTGGCTGCTTTCCTCTCCTTCCTGCTCCTTTTCCTTTATGCAATTTTTATTTTCTGCTCCTTGTATTGTTGTTGTAAGCTTTTCGTTTGCCGTTTGTTGATGATTCAGTCCTCTTATGTAGATTTTGTGCTGCTGCTTTTGCTTCCATATTTCAGTTTTCTTGTGCTATGTTTTGTGCGTGAGAAAAGGAGTAAAGGTGGGATTTTGCAGAGTTTTGCTCTCTTTTTCTGCTCTGTTTCTATTGGGATTAGGAGGGGAATTGAAAGGAAGCTGTGGGGAAGAAGTTTGTTAGGAAGAGGAAGAGAAGAAGGAGAAAGTCGGCCTCTTTTTTGTTTAGAGGAAAGGAAGTGCAAGGAGGAGGAGCAGGAGGTTGTCGTCAGGAAGCGAGGAAGAAGCTGATTGTCCCCCCCCCCCCCCCCCCACCCCCTCGAAAGGAAGTGTATGCGTTGTTTTTATAGGAAAAAGCATATTGTTCCCCAAGTTTGCAATAGGGTCGGTTTTGGGTCGGACTGGTATGGGTTTGGTCTGACCGATATGGGTTTGGTCAGACCTGATCTCTGACCGGTTCGACTTTATTGAGGGTTTACTTGGCCTTGTGGGATGGACTTGGTTGACTTTGACGTGGGCTTGTAATTGGGTTGTTTCAATTGTACTTTTATTTTGCTATTGTAAAAATAATATGAGGTTATTATTGTTTAGCATTGTTTTGCTATTGTACTTTTATTTACTTTAATAAAAACATTATCTTATTCTTTATTTTGAAACCCTTTTTTATGTATTCTAATCATGATAGTGGTTAATTAGTACTCTATTTATCTTAATAAAATTTGTTATCAATTCTCTTTTATTATCAAGAAATCAAGGTCCAATCCAACGTCTTAAGAATCGATTAACTCGCATGACAACCGAAATCGAACTTAAGCCTACTTTGTCCAAACATATCAATTCGTCGGAGATTTGTAATTCCTAATCTCATTGATTTATGGCAAACAAAATCCAACCCAAGCATTACAAATATGTTTTAGCTAGGTCATTCAAGATTTGCTATTGCAAACCTTAAAGTGGAACTAAATTTTATTTTAGTGAAAAGGTTTTAACCCTGACAAAAAGTGGTGTCTACAGTTGCCCCCCTTTGTATATCTCTTGGTATTTGAGAGGTATACAAAGTTATCTTAAAACACCATTTTTTGCCAGTTTAGATATTGTTAAAAGCTAAACAAAGTATCAATAAGTTCAAGCGACGATATAGCTTGTTTGTTCCCATGCGGTATAGCAAAAAGGACTTGCTTACTCTCATGGTGGTATGGCCTGGTTTAGAGTATGGACTTGTTTAGTTTATTTTTCCCATGATGGTAGAGCCTGATTTGGGTTTTGTTAACATGGTGGTTCAACCTGGTTGGGATTCGTGGTCCCATGGCGGTATAGCCTGATCTTGGTCTATGTTGCCCCCACGGCGTTATAACCTGATTTGGGTTTGGTTGGTCCCTTGGCGGTATAACCTGGTTTGAGTTTTGTTGTTTCTATGGCAGTATAGCCTGACTTGGGTTTCTTTATATCTTGGCGGTATAGCCTGAAATGATTCCTTTTTTACGGAGGTGTAGCCTGCAATGGTTTCCTTTCATGGCGGTATAGCCTACATTGGTCTTTT